GACTCACTTGCCCAGAACTCGCCCTCGACCTCAACACATGAGACAATGCAAGCAATCATGAAACAAGCGAAACAAAACGAACAGAGGCTGGAAAACATGATCGCTGAGAACGAGCCCCTCCGTCAGGACTTGGCCTTGGAAGTACAAAAATCCAATCAAGCTACACGCCAAGATCCGGGACGATGTCTGAGAGCGGGTGGTCGAAGACCTCGAGTTCAGAAGCAATATAGTGATAGCGACTCTGACTCATTATCCCCAGAGCCCAAAAGAAGGGACGACTCGAAACTACCGGTTCCTCTGAAGAGAGTCCACATGTAAGGCATAAGCAAAGACGAAATGGCTCGGACGAAGAAGACCAGCACGATCCTTTCGTGCGACGGATCGCAAAGGTAGCGCTACCCAAGAAGTTCAAAACCCTGTCGTTCACCCTGTACGACGGGAAATCGGGCCCCACTGATCATATTCATCATTACAAGCAAACCATGACGCTGCATGCATACGACGAGGCTCTCATGTGTAAAATATTTCCGAGCAGTTTGGGGCCATTAGCCGTCAGATGGTATTATAAGTTAGAGCCGGCGTCGATTAAGAGTTTCCATCAACTACAGAAATCCTTCAGGGCAAGATTTATCACCAACGAGGTCCAGCCAAAGCAAGCTGACTCTCTCTGGGCAATGCAGATCCAGCGGGGAGAAACCTTACGAGCGCATTCGGCACGCTATTGGGAATGCTTTAATCTTGTCGATGATGCTTGCAACGACTCCATGGCCATTACCGCCTTTAAAATAGGTTTGCATCCTGATAGTGCTCTTCGTAGTTCCTTGACTAGAAGACCCCCCAAAACAGTCTGGTCATTGATGAAGAAAGTTGAGAAATACTGCAAAGTGAAAGATGACGCCTTGCGGGTTAAAGCCGAAAACATGGCCAACAAGACGGCCCCTTCTGAAATTGCTCAACCGTTAAAGCCCTGAACCACTGCATCGGGCTAAACGAGACAAGAGACGGGATTCTCGCCGATCAAGTGATCAATGCTCCCACTGAGGAAATGAACAACTGCAAGTCGATAGTAGGCGCACAAGGCGCTCATACAAGAAATATACGTAGTTGTCAGAGCCGATCAGCGCGGTTATGTCCAAAGTCCAACACCTTCCATTCTTCAAATGGCCGTCCAAAATGGTAGGACCTCCCGACATGAGAAGACGGGATAAGCGGTGCGAGTATCACAAGGATCACGGCCATGATACTGAGAGTTATTATGCATTGAAGGATCACCATGAGGAATTGGTACAAGATAGTCGGCTACAACAGTACGTCCGAAAAGGAAACTCAACCAAAGCAATAACCTTACGACAAGATTCACCTTCACTCGGCATGATCCACATGATATACAGCCTGCCAATGCCATCCGTGGTGCATACGATTCAGTCGAATCTCGACCCTCAAAATCAATTCACTCCGGCTAAACAGCCCCATGAAGCTACGAGCATTGCTTTCGATGATTCAGATTTTGCCGGAGTGACACTTCCCCACATCGATCCCTTGGTAATCGAGTTACGCGTAATCATTGATCCGGGGAGCACATCGGAAGTTATGTATTACAAGACATTCACCAAACTCGGCTTCTCCGAATCGAACCTTTCTCCAACTCCTTATCCATTATTCGGCTTCAACGCCAATCCAGAATACCCGTTGGGGAAAATCACACTACCCGTTCGAACGGGCTCCCGAACAGTGGATGCGGAATTCTTGGTCGTTAAACTGCCATCGCCGTATAATCTCATAATGGGGTGAACTTGGTTGCATACTATGCAAGCCGTGCCAAGCACCTATCATCAGCTGCTACGCTTCTTGACAGAACGTGGCATTGAGCAAATTCGTGGCTCCCAGAAATCGGCACAAGCATGTTATCTCCTTGCTGGAAAAATGCCAAAAGAGTTACAAGTGAATTCTATTGAGGTGCCAGATCGAGAGAGCCTCGACGATGTTGGGCGACTCCCAAGTGAAAAGGCCACGGAAGCCCTAGATCGAGTTGAAATTGACAGAAACCCAGACAGGTTCTTCATGGTCGGCGCCTCCCTGAATCAAGCTGACAGACAACAGCTAATTTCCTTCCTGCTCGACAACCTTGATGTATTTGCGTGGACTCCATATGAGATGTCGAGTGTAGATTCGTCTGTTTCGCAGCACCGTTTAAATGTTGACCCTAAATGTAAGCCGATTATTCAGAAAAGCCGGCGGTCAGCCGCAGAGCACACTACCGCCATTGTTGAAGAGGTTGATCGGTTGCTTGACGCCGGGGCAATTATGGAAGTGACTTACCCTACGTGGCTCTCGAATACTGTTTTTGTGAAGAAGAAAAATGAGACTTGGCGAGTGTGCGTTGATTTCATGGACCTAAACAAAGCCTGCCCCAAGAATTGTTTTCCCCTCCCTAGAATAGACCAACTTGTAGATGCGACGGCATGCCATCAGCGTATGAGCTTCCTTGATACTTACAAAGGCTACCATCAAATTGCCATGCATCCAGAGGACCAAGACAAAACTGCATTCCTCACCCCAAGAGGAACCTATTACTATAAGGTTATGCCTTTTGGGCTGAAGAATGCAGGGGCAACTTACCAAAGACTAGTCACTGCCATGTTCAAGGAGTAACTCGGCCACACTATGGAAATGTATATTGACGATATGGTGGTCAAGTGCAAAGAAGAGCAAACTCATCTAGCCGATCTGGAAGAGACATTCGGCATTTTACACAAATACAAAATGATGCTAAACGTTTCCAAATGTGCGTTTAGGATCAGCTCTGGCAAATTCTTGGGTGACATTGTCAACCACCGAGGAATCGAAGCCAACCCGAGGCAAATCATAGCAATCTTGGAGCTCGGCTCCCCTTGTTCAGTGAAAGAGGTTCAAAAGTTGATGGGGATGGCCGCCACACTCAACAGGTTCATCAGTCGGTCCACAGATCGCTGCCGACAATTTTTTCATGCTCTACGGCAGGGCAAGGCTTTTGAATGGACCTCCAAGTGCGAAGCCGCTTTTAACAACCTCAAGACCTGCCTCTGATTAGTTCCACTCTTGACAACACCTTCGGCAGGCGACCCGCTCATTTTATATCTGGCGGTTTTCGATCGGGCCGTCGGCGCTGTACTGATAAAGAAAGAGCTGGGGGATCAAGGGCCAGTGTATTATGTGAGCAAGGCAATGTTGACGCTGAATCACACTACCTTTCGTTGGAAAAACTCATTCTGGTCCTCGTCATGGCAGTAAGAAAGCTGATGCATTACTTTTAGAGGCATACCATCGGGGTACTAACAGACCACCCCCTTCGGTCGGTACTCCATAGTGCAGAAGCATCAGGGTGCATTTCAAAGTGGGCTCTTGAACTCGGCCAGTATGATATTCAGTTTCTGCCTAGAACGTCAATCAGGGACAGGTGCTTGCCGACTTTGTGGCCGAATTCACTAGGGGTCTTGCCGACTTCAAGTCTGATGAAATTCAACCTAAGCCGAACTGGAGAATTTATTTTGGGGACATTTGGCAGTTGTACTGTGATGGATCGTTCAATCAACGAGGTAGTGGGGTCAGAGTAGTAATAATGGCTCCTGATGGGGCAATAATTGAGCAGACTGTCAAACTCGGCTTCGAAGCATCAAATAACGAGGCCGAATACGAGGCCCTGCTAACCGGCTTGTGAAATGCATATCTGCTAGGTGCTCGGCGTCTGCTTATATTTTGCGATTCAAAATTGGTGATCAATCAGTTAAAGGGGGAGTACGCAGCAAAAAACAACCGTATGGCTGCTTACATGAAAAGGGCAAATTCCTTGCTGACAAAATTTGACCATCATGAATTGAACCAAATAACTCGTGACCAGAACACACATGCAGATGCCCTGGCTTGCCTAGCCTCTGCCATTAACTCAGAGATTAAACGGACCATTGAAGTTGGTTTCATCCCAGAGCCGAACATTAACCCTTCTGAGAAAGTCCAGGTCAATGTCATAGAGTCAGGACCGAGTTGGATGGACTCTATTGCTGCATTCTTGTCTTTTGAACGGCTCCCAGCCGACAAGAAAGAAATGCATAAGCTGCGAAACAAAGCCCTGCGATACTACTTGGATCAGCAAGAAAAACTTTATAAAAAATCCCTTTCTGGTCCATACCTGGAATGCGTTCATCCGGACAAAGTAGAATCACTTTTGACCAAAATACATGAAGGCAGTTGTGGCGCCCATTCTGGCGGGCGCTCTTTGGCTCATCGAGCTGTGACACAGGGGTATTACTGGCCGACAATGAGAGCCGATGCCGAATGTTACGTGAAAAAGTGTGAACAGTGCCAGAAGTTCTCTCATTTGACCCACCTGCCTGCTGAAGAGTTAAACTCTATAACCAGTCCTTGGTCGTTCGCCTAATGGGGACTTGACATCATCGGACCACTGCCTTGTGCCCCGGGTAACAAGCGATTTTTGATTGTCGCGACAGATTATTTCACAAAATGGGTAAAAGCGAAAGCACTAACGCACATCTGAGATACTGACGTGAAGCGTTTTGTATGGAGAAATATCATCACATGATTCGGCATTTCAAGAGGCACTTATTTCAGACAATGACACCTAGTTTGATTGCGGTGTCTACAGGGAACTGTGTAGCAAGTATGGTATTCAGCCCTAATATTCGTCCCCAGCTTATCCATAGAGTAACGGCCAAGCTGAAGCCTCCAACAAATCTATTTTAGACAGCATCAAGCAGAGGCTGGAGAAAGCTAAAGGAAGATGGGTAGAAGAGTTGCCAAGTGTGTTATGGGCTCATCGCACTACTCCGAGACGGTCCACTGGGGAGACGCCGTTCACTTTGTGCTTCAGAACACAGTCAATCATCCCCTTGGAGATCGACCTCCCAACTTTGAAATCAACAGTTTTTGATTTGGGCCGAAACGACATGATGTTGGCCTCGAATTTGATTCTGATTGAAGAGCGGAGAGACCGCGCCCTTGCATCCATGGCACAGTACCAGCAGCAGCTTGCTACGTCATATAATCAGCGTGTTCAACTACGCCGCTACACACCAGGAGAGTTGGTCCTGAAGAAAGTGCTTCCAGCTGGCAAGAATCCAGCCGACGGAAAATTGGGTCCTAACTGGGACGGCCCTTATCAGATCGACTCAGTCGTGGGAGTAAGGGCATATCAGCTTAAAGACATGTCTGGGAGAAGTCTGCCACGGCCTTGGAATTCCACACATTTACGTAAATTTTATCATTGACCCGACTTGTGGGGCTTGATACTTGTACATATTTCACTTCTGCAATGCAAAGTTTCCTGTTTCCTCATCGCGTAATTCAGTTCAAAAGTCTCCGGATTCGGAGCGCCCTTCGTGGATATCACGATTGGCCAAGTCAAGTCTCCGGATTTGGAGCCCCATTGGTGCATGACACCTTTGGACTGATTAAGCCTTCGGATTCGGAGCGCCCTTCATGGATATCATGATTGGCCAAGCCAAGTCTCCGGATTCGGAGCCCCATTGGTGAATGACACCTTTGGGCCGATTAAGCTTCCGGATTCGGAGCGCCCTTCGTGGATATCACGATTGGCCAAGCCAAGTCTCCGGATTCGGAGCCCCATTGGTGCATGACACCTTTGGGCCGATTAAGCCTTTGGATTCGGAGCGCCCTTCGTGGACATTACGATTGGCCAACTCAAGTCTCCGGATTCGGAGCCCCATTGGTGCATGACACTTTTGGGCTGATTAAGCCTTTGGATTCGGAGCGCCCTTCGTGGACATCACGATTGGCCAAGCCAAGTCTCTGGATTCGGAGCCCCATTGGTGCATGACACCTTTGGGCCGATTAAGCCTTCGGATTCGGAGTGCCCTTCGTGGATATCACGATTGGCCAAGCCAAGTCTCTGGATTCAAAACCCCATTGGTGCATGACACTTTTGGGCCGATTAAGCCTCCGGATTCAGAGCGCCCTTCGTGGACATCACGATTGGCCAAGCCAAGTCTCCTGATTCGGAGCCCCATTGGTGCATGACACTTTTGGGCCGATTAAGCCTCCAGATTTGGAGCGCCCTTCGTGGATATCACAATTAGCCAAGCCAAGTCTCCGGATTCGGAGCCCCATTGGTGTATGACACCTTTGGGCCGATTAAGCCTCCGGGTTTGGAGCCTCATTCGTGTATGACACTTATGGACTGAATAAGACTCCTGATTCGGAGTGCCCTTCATGGATATCACGATGGGCCAAGGCAAAAAGCCTCCGAATTCGGAGCCCCATCCGTGCATAACACATTTGGGCCGAATAAGACTGCGGATTCGGAGCACCCTTCACGATGAAAGTTAAAGCATACAAATATTCAAAGTGAAATGTTTCGTTAAGTTGAGCCAGCAAAAACCATATACACAAATTAAAGCATACAAACATTCAAAATGAAATGCTTAATTAAGTTGAGCTGGCGCAAACCGCATAAACAAATTAAAACATGCAAACATTCAAAATGAAACGCAAACATTTAAAACAAAGGATTTTATTAAGTTAACCAATAGATACATAGCTGACGCCCAATCTATGTTGGAGCGTTTACAATATATTCAATTCTATTCGGCATCTTCCTCGTCATCGCTCTTCTCAGTTTCGAAAGCGCCAAAAGGAAAGCGATGACGTTGATATAATGGCGACGCCGATTCAACTCCTGCTCCTTGGAGTGCCTCTACAGCTTGGAAAGCCTTAATCCACCCATGCCTAAAGCCCCGATTCTCGCATTGGCATACCTCATTTGCGAGTTTCTCCCTGGTCTTCTCTATCCCGACTTTTCGGCCGTCATGGAAGCCTTTTTCATAACCCACGGACCTTGCAGTCTCCACTACAAACATGCTTGCCGTATGTTTATCGGCAATCGCATGACTTACTTATCAGCCGTTGGGTCACTCTTTCTTCCACGACCGGGTTTGATTGGCCAACCGCACGCGGCTCGGCAGTTTAGGCCTTCCTCAGCTCACGCTCGGCCTTCTCCGCATGAGCCTCTAAGGTTCGGATTCGTTCGTCTTTCTTCTCTATCTCCTGCCGCTCGGCGCGCAGACGCATGCCGACTTCATAGGCGGTATACAGCCCTCTCACTGCCCCATGGATGCCCTCTCGAAACACTTCGAAATCCTATCAAAAAACCATCGACTGCTGGACTTCCGGTGGAAAAATCTATCGAGCGAACTCGACTACTACACCTGGGTTGTTAACAATAGAATCCGCCTCTGTCATCGATTTATTCCCCACAAAAATCGTAAAACTCAACGGTCGCGACATCGCATCGGACTCATTTCTTGGTCGCAGTCGAGGGGAGCTGTCTCGTTGCTATTTTTCCCTTCGGGGTGATTTGCTTCGACGACCTGGGGGCTGACGTTTTTCCCATTCCCTGGACTTCTTGCTTCCCGTGCGTGTGGACTCGCTGCTGCGATTCATTTCAGTATCAAGCTCAGCCAATGTCCGCCCTTCTCCTTTGCTGTTGAAGAACAGTTTATTTGACATTCACACTTATCTAACCTTCCGTAACAAATTGGTTTAAATTGAGTTTGAACACAATAAGTGGAATTAAGGGCGCAAAGAACCCACCCCATTTATTCCTAACGCGTGCAGCGCCCCCGAGGCGATTTCATTAATGTTAAACTCCAAAAGGATGCCGATCGACGTGCGCCGCAGCCACTCTATGAACTAATAATATTTGGCTTTCGCAGTTGATACATTGGCTGGGGCAAGGGCAGATTTGTTATTCTGATCGGTCAAATATCTAAGCCCGATGCCGATCGATTTATGCCGCAACCACTCCATGAACTAATCATATTCGGCTTTCGGAGTTTATACATTGGCTGGGGCAAGGGCAGATTTGTTAATCTGATCGGTCAAATATCTAAGCCTGATGCTGATCGGTTTATGCCGCAGCCACTCCATGAACTAATCATATTCAGCTTTCGAAGTTCATACATTGGCTGGAGCAAGGACAAATTTATTAACCTGATCGGCCAAATATCTAAGCCCAATGCCAATCGATTTATGCCGCAGCCACTCCATGAACTAATGATATTCGGCTTTCGGAGTTCATACATTGGCTGGGGCAAGGGAAGATTTATTAATCTCATCGGCTATTCGACGAGGATAAATTACTAAGTTGCCTAGTTATCTAATCGGCAAGTGTGCACGAATGTTTTATCCAAGATAACGAAAAGCAATACCATTGATCAATAGCAAAATCAAGCACAAATAATAGCAAAGTGCAAAGGAAATTTTCATTAGTAAATTGGGCACAAACTGTAGTCATTTTACATATGAAAACTACTAAACAAAAAGCTACAAGTTTGCATGGAAATGCCTAGCAAAAACTTAAAAACTGTAGTCATTTTACACATAAAAACTACTAAACGAAAAACTGCAACAATACATTCAAAATCCGTAAGCAAAAACAACTAAAATGTCGCCCTAATCAATCCTCGGAGTCAGACTCCAGCGGCTCAACGTCCACTTGGCAGTATGGAATTGGCATAGCCAATGTCACATTAGTAGCAGGAAGGGCTTTGAGCCAGCCGTGTTTGAATTCTCGATTTTCAAATTTGGGGACTTCTTCCACATAACTTGCGAGGGCAGCGCTTTGCCCAGCCTCATATGCCTTGGAAGCCTCGGAGTCGGCTACTTCCTTCACCTTCTTCGATTCTTCCAAGTTAGCCTCCAGTTTGGCAATCGCGTTTCGGGCTAACTTGAGCGCATTTTCGCTCGCATTCGCCCTCTCCTCGGCGGCCAATCTGAGCTGGTTTGAATTTCTCATCCTTTCCATCTCAGCCTCAGCCCTTGCACCTTCCATCTTCGGCCTCGCTGCTTTGAACTCGGACCTGCTCCTTTGGCCCTCAACTTCTGATTGTAAACAGCCAATTCGTTCGATGGTCATGCTGGCGACGGCCTATCTCGGCTATCCTTCCGACCGTTTGCAAAACAGGAAATTAAAACCAAAATAATATATGCATAAAAGGGAAAGATAGGATCAAGGAATATACCAGAAAAGCCGATTGAGCAGCTAAAGCTATTGCCAACAGATTCGGCTCCGCCCAAAAAGTCGACTTGTCACCCGGCAATGAGACCGACGCAGCCATACTCAACGCCACGGCTGGATCTTTCATAGCCGACGCGTCAGAGGAGATCGGCATGTTTTTTTTATCTTTGGTTGAATGAAAAAAGGCAAAACCACATCCGACTCCTCTAAATGCAGCTGTTTGTCAGCCTGGTTTTCTTCAGAGCCGGCCTCGAACTCGGCAGGACGTTTCTCTGCCCTTCGCTCAGCCTCCTGATCCACCTGCACAATCGTCTCCACCTCGGCATTTCGGCTTTCACCCGTCTCCTCCTCGATAACAGGCAGGGAGGGCTCAGCATCGGTGGCGGGTGGCACTTCCGATCAAATGGCCTCTGCTCTCCTCCGCGCGGCCATTCTTTCGGCATTTTTCTGTTTGGCGAGTTTTGTGAAGGACAACCCAGTCATGTCTTCGGGGTATGCACCGGGAAGGTCTTCTAACCCAGTAAAAATGTCACCGAAGGGAAGGTCCCCTCGACCCGAGGTAGACGGAGGGTTGGCTGAATCGAGGCCAGCTTCCTCAAAGGCCAACTTCAAGGCCTCATCTATTTCGGCTTCGGACTAGCTTGACTCTTTAGCGACCCCAGCTACCTTTGTCTGCTTCGAGTCGGATCCGCCCAAACCAACTTGCCGCAAGTTTTTGAAGTTGGTTAAAACAAGAGCCGTAAGAAACTCTTTGCCCCTCGGAATTGGGATGTTTTCTGCTGCCGAGAACGTTGTATACGTCGGCTCATATCAAAGAAGAATGTGGGCTGCCCTTCCTTGTTTTTAAAGGCTTGGACAACTGAAGTATTTGAGCGCGATTACAATTTCCGCAAGAACGGCGTCGTCGGTTGAAATCAAAACTTTCTTCAAATCGTTCCCTGCACAAGCAAAACTATGAGACCGCAAAAATGAAGCCTTGTAAATATAAGAAAAATGAACGCAAGGAGCTATATGGCCACCTGGTTTGCCCCTCTGTCTAGGAATAGGATCTAGGCGATCCTCGCCTTCGCCGAATTCCCAGTTACCTCGAACAACGACCATGACATCATCGTCTCGCTTGCTAGAGCTGGAAAGCATAGTCACTAATTGATGGTTGGTGTCCTTGGCTCTAAGGAAATAGCGTCCATGTCAGCCAGAAGACTTGGCCAAGGCATAACAGTGCTGAATAGCAGGTATGCCGAGGTTAATCCTAAGGCGACGGTTTAACTCTATAATCCCCATTACGATTCTAAAAAAGTTGACATTGGGTTGGGAAGGGATTAGACCCCAATGGCGAATGACAGCCCTAAGGAGTGGATGAAGTGGGAAACGGACTCCGCCCTCTGCAATTGTTAAGAGAGGGAAGATGATTGTGCTTTCATCAACCCTCTCCGTATCAAGAGTGTCGTCTGTCACAAGTGACAGACGAACGTCATCAGGGAGGAGGCCTTTCAAATGCTTTGCCATTTTCGTTAGCCTATAGGAATATGCTAAATTAAAAACCCAGGAAAAGGGGATTCAAAGCAGAGAGGGAGAGAACTTACAAGAGACGGAGAGGACCCAGATTCGAGCTCCAGGTTCAAAACCAAGCTTAGATGCATAAAATTCGATCCTCTTGGGCCAATTTTCTGGAAAACTCTTTTAAACACATAGAATAACATATTTCAAAACTCAATTTAGGAAATCAAAGCCCAAGGGTGTTTAATTCAAACCCAATTTCCAACCATTTTCCAAGAACAATCCTCAAACATGACATGCATGACCTTAAATCATTTTCAAAGCTTCAATGCTGTTTCAAAAGAGCTCAAACCTTCAAAAACAAGATGAACTCATGGAGTATGACCAAAAGATGGACATGCATGTGAGGCATTATGAACTACAACCTCAAAACTTCAATATATGTACATGCATGCAAAGATTGAGCTTCAATTCAACAACAATGAACCAAAACATGACTTAGCTCTACAAATTAACATGAATCATGCAAGAATGAACTCAAGACATGAATAAGAAGACAATGGAGCTACCTTTAGTCTTGTATTTCAAGAAGGGAGCTCAAATATGCAATCACTTCAACAATTCTTCAATTACCAAGCAATTTACCAGCAAAATCAACAAGAACAATTCTCTCTCTCTCTAACTCTCCTCTCTTGGTCGGCAAAAGCAAGAAATGAGCTGGGAAAAATGTTTGATTCAAGCATACCAAGGCTCTAACATGTTATAATAAGGGCCCACTAACAATGGCAAAACGGTAATTAAGTCCAACTCTTCAATTAGCTTATTTTAATCTAATTTAATCATACCTAAACAGTTTTCAGGTAAATATACCGTAAAATCACATTAATTATGAGGGTCACGGAACATCAGTCGATTTCTAATTCGGCCGCCGATAAGGCCTTCAATTAGCAGTTTAAACATACAAACAGGAACAGATAGTCAAACAGTCAAACAGATAGAACACAATTTAACACACACATACTCAGTCAATTCGATTCCAGTTTTCAGTCAGTCAGTTCAGTACCTTAGGTAGTTCAATTATCAGTCAAAATCAGTCTCGGTTAACAGTAATTAGCGGTTAATCAATCATTAATCGGTAAACAGTATGAGGGTTGTTACATGCTCCTCTCATCTTATAGAGTTGTGGTTGCCAGAAAAATTTTCACTCATTGTCATAGACGGAAAAATGTAGGTAATCAAATGGTTACCACCGTTACTATCGGAATATTGCTGTCAAAAATTTTCAAGGTTTTGAGAGTGGGTAGGTTTTGAAGGTGAAATTTGGGAAAGATACATGGGTGGTGATGGAGGTGGGTGCTTTCATAAACTCTAATTCATGATGTAGTGGATGTGTAGGTTTAATTGTGAGATTGAGTGTTTCAAAATTAATGATATCTTTTATAGTAATTTTATTTAAGGTTATTATTGTAATAAAATAAATCTAAAAATTGGATGGTCCAAAATAATTTATGAAATACTAATTTTAAAAAGATGTTTAAAAATTAATTTTTTAACTTTTTAATTTTAATTTTATTTTATTATTATTATTATTATTATTTTTTATATGAGAGAGGAAGTGGGTTACTTTTAACCACTTCCCTCGCCACTTCCAAAATAGGCCATAGAGACGAATAGCCGAGAGCAGCAACAGTGAAGATGGTGGGTGGGTGCATAAGAGGAGGAGCAATGGAGGTGGAATCAAAGGAGAAGGAGGAGGAGGAGGAGGAGAAGAAGAGTAGCAGAGAACAACAATGATTCATCCCATTAAAAACATCACCACTAATAGCACTAATGCATTAAAAAAGTAAAAAAAAAATAAATAAATACAACTCCAACACCAAAACATCACATGGCGAGATCCACTGCCACCTAATTAGTGGCAGCAAGCATTTTTCAGCAGAGAATTGGAGGCAACGATCCTTGAGAAGGTTGGGAACGTCATCGCCTTCATCAAGGAAGCCAAACACGTTGACGAAGTCATTTGTGCCCTCCACTCCCTCGTCATCCTTCTCTTCCCTCCTCTCGACTCACAACATGCCCTCTCAGGTGACCTCCCAACACAACTCCGTTGATTTTTGTTTGCTTGCCGAGAAAACTGAGGACAAGAAAAAGATCCTTCCTTGAGTGTTTATGTAGCCCGTGTAGCTCTTTTTGTCTGAATTTATTTCAGTTTCTTTGATTTTAGTTGTCAAATTGGGATGAGATTTATTGGTCTGTTTGTTTTTGAACTTATAGGTAGCATTGATCAACAGTATAGAGATCAGGTGTGTTTCTCTCATTGCTATGATTCAAAACTGTAATATCTGATTACTCCATTTTTTGTTCTACATAAGTAATATCTGATTTTGTTGTCTTTAGGTGCTTAGTGCCAAAGTCCCTTCTGAACTGGAGAGGAGTGAATGTTGGAGGGTATTCTATCAAGGTGCTGCATTTCCTACTCTGGCTAGGGCTTTGTTATATGGTAAGTTGATTGTCATATTGAAAACAGCTAACCCCCATAAATAATAAATAAATAATTAAAATGAAAGAAATAAGAAAAGTAATTCGGCTATCCCATAATTTAGTAATCTGATGTTTTTATTTTGTATGATTGGGAAGCATAAAATCAGCCACCAAAAAAAAAGAAAAAAAAAACATGTGAAAGAAGTTTGATATGGAAGATTCAATTCAAAAAGTGAAGAACAAGTTTTTCAGTTCTTGCATAGTTGCATTTAGCAAGGGCAATCCTTATTTGAATAGGGTTTTTGGATTTTGCAGATGTTCTTGGATTATTGTTTGTTTATTATATCATGTATGTAGAGAGTCAGGAATCGAACTTGAGAGATGGATAGTGCAAATAAAGAGTTAAAAGTGCTAGAGATTACTGTGGCTGAAAAGTATGGTAAGCATGGATCAGAGAGCATGGAAGTGTAGGCACAATGTGTGATGTGATGCATTGATGATCCAATCGGGGAGAGGAGCCCTCTTTTTATTAGAAAAGGGTTTGAGATAACATGAAAATGTAGTACAACTTGTGTTAATATAAATCTCGTGTCACGGTTAGGTTAGGACTCGTTTCAGAGTTATATGATAAGGATTTTATTGCCATGACTTTGTCAGGATGCTGTCCCATTCTGACCAGCCAGGTCAAGCTGAAGCGATGCCCCCCGTTGAGGGAAAGTCATTTGCTGACACCTTGATGAACCTAAAACGAGGAGGGAGGTTTGAGTTGTTCTTTCCTACTATTTTTTTGTTTGAATTAATACCAAACAAATCACAAGCAAGAAAGGGTAACAATATGGGTTCTAACCCTAGCCAAAAAGTAAAAATAAAAATATGGGTTAGGTCTAGAAAATAAAAGGACAATATGGGTTCCAATAATTGGGTAGTTCTCCAATCCTTGATTAGCTAATGAGAGAGGAGAGAGGAGAGATGAGAGAGAGGCTTAGGGGAGAGACCAAAGAAAGGGAGAGTGTTTGAAATGTTTGAAAGGAGAGGGCTAGGCATTTTATTTGAGAGGGTTTTTGTCATATAGTTGGATTACATCACATGGATTTTGGCTTTTTCTTGACTTTGCATAGCTCATATACAATTGCTCATGATACTTTCTTGTGGTTGTAGATTATGTATCAGATATTCCATTTGGTTTATATGAATTTATTAGCACTATAAGTAAACATAGTAGTTTTAAGAAAAAGCATTCCTTTAGGGCCGTTTATGATTTCATATAATTACCAAAATTAATGGGGTATATGTTAATTTTTTTGGGGGTCTAATTTGGTTGAAAGAAAGAATATAGTTTTATGAATTATGAATAGATATTGGTAGAAGAAATTCTTGATAGTTTGACAACAATTTCAAAACTATTAAAAAGAAGAAGAAAAAAAAAAGTGGGCAATCTGACGTGTTCTTTATTGGGTTGCAAGAATAAAATGTGTTAGCCTAGTAGGTGATCTAAGATCATTAATTTTTCCAACTTTGTACGGTGAGGATTTTTATTATAGCTGCGGTGAAAGATTGACTATATGACTAATTATGACTAATTTTTCCATTCTTTTTGTATCTGCCTCCCTCATAATCCTATATCATTATGACCCTTACATTTGTTGTAATTATATTTTTTTCTAGGGCATATTTGTTTTGCATGTGAGATGTATATCTCCCAATAAGTTTGCCTGAAGAAAATTAATGGTGGGAAACACATGCATGTGGAAAATGACTGGCATTTAAATATATATATATATATATATATTGTTGACAAGATTGCAAAAGAAGAGAAGTGTGCATTTGAGGGAAGTATAGATGATGGATTAGAGTTGGATTGATTTGCCAAATAGGAAGTCGAGGGAATACATTAATGGGATTGATCAATTCCTTGTGTTTGCCTATACCAATAGGGATGAAGGTTCGATGATTAGTTGTCCGTGTAGAAAATGTGAGAATCGATACCATCTTGTACGAGAGGGTGTATGGGAGCATCTGATTTTGAATGGTTTTTTAAAACAGTACAAACATTAGATTAATCATGGGGAGTCTTACGTATCTCTGCATGGTAATCGAGAGAATGAAACATTGGCTAATTTAGACATTGGGGACGATATGGTTGGAATGATACAAGGGGATATGGGAAATCCACATGCCGGTACGAGTGTTGAGGGTAATGAACCACAAGGGCCTGATCCCCATGCATCTGAACCCCAGCTCGGTCCAAATGTCGAGACTGCAAAGTATTTCAAACTTTTTCAAGATGCACAAAGTGAATTGTATCCGGGTTGTCAGAAGTTCACATCTTTGTCATTCATGGTTCTACTTCTACATCTGAAGGTGCTTAATCAGTGGACAGACAAGTTTGTTGACATGTTGCTTGAGTTGTTGAATGAGGCGTTCCCGTTGGCTGTGAAACTCTCAGGCTCATATTATAAGGCTCAAAAGGTCACAACAGATTTGGGCTTCACGTATGAGACGTGTGATGCATGTCCCAACAGTTGCATGTTGTTTCGAAACGATGACGCCAATCTTGATAAATATGTCATATGCAACAATTCAAGATGGAAATCAAATAGTGATGGTGGTTCAAATGGTCCTAACAACGGTGACAAACGAATAGTTGCAAAACAAATGAGGTATTTTCCTTTAAAGCCAAGGTTGCAGAGGTTGTTTATGTCATCCAAGACGGCTAAGTTAATGAGGTGGCATGCAAAGGAACGAACTGATGACTGTGTCTTTAGGCATCCTGCAGACTCCCATGCATGGAAAGATTTTGACCGTCGGAATATTGATTTTAGTAATGATTGCCGAAATGTAAGGCTTGGCTTAGCATCTGATGGTTTTAACCCATTCAGGATGATGAACATAGTTCATAGCACTTGGCCTATTGTACTCATTCCATACAACTTGCCGCCATGGATGTGCATGAAGCAACCATTTCTAATTTTATCTGTGCTTATTGATGGCTCAAAAGGACCTGGTGACAAGATTGATGTGTATATGCAACCGTTGATTGAGGAGTTGAAAGAACTATGGAATGACGGTGTGTCCACATTTGATGCATCAACAAATCAGATGTTTCAAATGCATGAAGCTTTACTGTGGACAATTAGTGATTTTCCTGCATATGCAAACTTGTTAGGATGGAGCACCAAATGCGAATAAGCATGTTCTTGTTGCAATAGGGAAACTAAATTGTGTTGGTTTAAGCATAGTAGGAAACAATCGTACTTGGGTCATCGTAGATTTTTACCTACTGGCCATAAATTCCGAAAGGATAAAGTATCATTTGATGGTAGTCAGGAAGTCAGATTCAAACCAAAATTGTTGTTTGGAACTGAGATGTTGCTACAATTAGAATCTGAGGGTATTTTAACCCAACACAAGAGGGACGACCTTAAGGAGAGGCATATGAGACAAGTAGAGAAGGAGAAAGCTAGACATCGCACCCATAGCTAGAAGAAAAAGAGTATCTTCTATGAACTGCCATATTGGGAGCACAATCTAATAAGACACAACCTCGATGTGATGCATATAGAGAAAAATGTTTGTGACAATGTGTTGTGGACAATATTAGGGGTTGCAGGAAAATCGAAGGATGGTGTTAATGCACGGCGTGATTTACATGAAATGAATATTAGAAAACCCCTACATTTGCAGTTAAGAGGGTCGAATAAAGCTTATTTACCACCGGCACAATTCACGATGACCAAGGATGAGAAAGATTTGTTCTTGAAAGTATTGAAGGAAGTTAGAGTTCCCGACGGGTATTCATCCAATATATCGCGTTGCGTGCGCTTACATGATAGAAGTATTGGGGGTCTTAAGGGCCACAATAGTCATATTCTGATGCAATAACTAATTCCATTGGCTATTCGAAGATCGTTACCGAAAAATGTAATTGAACCTTTGATTGAATTGAGCAATTTCTTTAGACAATTGTGTTCCAAAGTGAATCGTGCGACGGATTTGCAATATATTCAAGATCGTATTGCCGTAACAATTTGTCATCTAGAGAAAATATTTCCTCCTACTTTTTTTTGATATAATGGAGCACTTGCCTATACATCTAGCTGACGAAGCATTATTGGGTAGAGCGATTCAGTTTCGATGGATGTATCCAATTGAGAGGTATCTTCTTACTTTGAAGCAATATGTGCGTAATAGAGCTCATCCAAAAGGTTCAATTGCTAAAGGATATCTTATGGAAGAATGCATGAATTTTTGTGTACGATATCTCAATGATGTGGAAACCAAATCTAATCGACCCGTGAGGAACTACAGTGGTGATGATAATCTAGGTCGTGCTGTTGGTGAAAGCACAAGCTTTTATCTTGATAATACTTCTTGGGTACAAACTCATCGGTATGTCTTATTCAATACAAGTGCAGTTCAACCATTCATAAAGTAAGTTATGTCACTCACTCAATATTTTATTATGTTTCATTGAATTTTGAACCATTTTTTTTTATTTATTTATTTATTTATTTTTTTTTTTATAAAATTTCAATCTACACAGCAAACACCTTGAAGAACTTAAGGTCAAAATGCCTCGTGTTGACGATAATCAGCTTCGGCGTGAACATTTTGAAACTTTTCACATTTGGTTCAAGGAACATGTATGTATTTAAATCTACAGATTCTATTTACCTAAGCCGAACTACATTTTAAATTTTACAATTTTTTTTTTTTAAATAGGTTCAAACTTTCCGAAGGACTAGTGATGTCACATTTTCTGAAGAGATTATCGTATTGGCTAATGGTCCTTATAACCTGGCAAGGAGGTTCAACGGGTATATAATGAATGGGTTTCGGTATCGAGTAAAGGCCATGGATGACCGTCGAACCACACAAAATTGTGGTGTAGCTTTAAAGGCAGATACCATAAGTTATGCTAGTTGGAAAGACAAGAATCCTCGTGTGGGGTTTGTGTACTATTATGGACAATTGATAGATATTGTTGAGATTCGATATTCCAATGAGAAGAAGCATGTGTTGTTTAAGTGTGATTGGATTGACAACATTCACGGGAAGTTACAAGAT